TATTATGTTTTCATTTATGATTTTTAAATCTAAATTAGTGATTTACTTATTTATCTATAGAATCTTTTCTCTTAGCGATATCAGTGAAAACTCACAGAATTTTTTATGAACATTTATATTAAGTTTATCTCAGTCTTATTACATAGCAATCCATCATAAAGAAAATGAATAAGTATTTGTCCACAGTTTATTCAACAGTAACTGTTTAGAATGTATTTAGGGTTTTTAAAATAGGTAGACAATCATGTTACTGGAAAATGTATCATATTTTTATGACATTAAACATATATCCTAAACAGTAACACTTAATGATGGATAGTGGCTAGCAGTGGAATCCAGTCACTACGATTAATTACTCAACATTTTATTGTTCCCAATTGCTTTTCTATATCAGAAATGAGAATTATCTATAGACCAGTTAAAATAGTCATCACATTTAATCACTAGTTGAATGAAATTAGAATTTCAATAGCTAAACGATATTGTTCCTATATTTAAAAGTCTTGATTTTTATGCAATATACAATCATAACTATAAAATGTTAAAGAATCGTAAAACAAACAAAATAATGCCTTACTATGTTGATTAATTATTGAGTTGATATTACTGAAAAACAGAAATAGCTACATGGAAGTAATGATAGTTAGCATTTATTCCAATCATTCATTTCATCTGTTACTCAGTTGAGTACTGAAAATATGAGCATATTACCTAATTACATATGATGAATGAAAAAACATCAAAAATACTATGATTAATATCCATTTTATTGGTAATATGTGGATAACATGGCTGGTGGTCTAGATGAATAGTTATTCGTATTATTAAGTAGCATTATATCATTTATCAAATAAATGATGCATGTTTCTCTTTTATGAAATGAATGTCATATGATTTTGAAAATGAAGCTAGTTTATTGTTACTTTGAAGCATGTTGATTGTTTCTTTTTTTCACTTTACATGTTTAATCACATGTTTTCCGTCTAGAGAACTTAGTAAATAATGATTACTTAAAAGTTGAATACCTGGGTTTCTTTAAGTTGAGTACTTAAGTAAAAATTTATTCAAGCCTTAACTACGTTAAATGTAGTATAAATGATCGTAGAGACATGTTGATACACTTTTGATTAGTACAACCAGAGGATTTCAAAAGAATAAAATTGAAATAAATCCAAAAAATATTATTGCTTATGAGTAATAAAAATTTAGGATTCAAGAAAGGTTAAGAATAAAACCAACTAGGTTATTGTTCTAGCTATTAAATGATAAAAGTCTGTAACCGTAAACTATAACTATTCTGAAAAACTAAGGTAGATAGTTTGTATATTCCAGTAGGCCCTGATCAAGTAGTCAATAAATTTATTGGCTGATGCAGTGGTTTAATCGAATCACCCAGTAAACATTTCCTGATCAACTTTATCAGTTAAACAGTATAATAAGTTGGAATCAACGGAGACTGATCATGGGAACCATAAAAATTTTATAATAAAATGAAGCATTAATACAACCGAAGTATATAATAATCAACATACAACTAACTTAAACTATGGTGGACAATAATTATAAAAACAACATTCCCATAATAAGTACAATGTAGAAATAAATTAATACATTAAAACTCGTAATTACCATTTTCTTTCGGTCACATTTTCCATTTACTCTAATACAAAATTTTAATAAAGAAATTTTTCTAGCCAGTAATGTAAATCACATGACAGGAACATAATTTGAGATTAATTCTTTTTGTATCGAAATATTAGGGAATTTAAGTAACAAAAAAAGTCACTCACTAATTTGTTACACTAATAAAACGTTTATATTCTCATTAGTTCCTTTTCACACTAAATAGATTTAATGTGTACTATGCCACTCCCTTAAATGTTTTTCATTATTCTTTTTTTACTTTTAAATCAATAATCGATTAGGTAAGACTTAAAAACAATGCATATTTATCTCTGTAGCTTTCTATCAATGATAACCAAACATATATAAAGAACATGTAAGATTTTTTAAGCAAAGATAGATGGTGGCTAACAGTGGAACCCGGGACGTACGTTTCGTCCTATAAGAGACTGATCAATTGTAGTCTCAAACATCATTGGGAAGATTCCAACAAATAAAACAAAATAAATATAGGACTTTTGTTTGCGGTTTGTTCATGACTTTCAAATCCAAGTATCGACCCATCATTAACGTTTATTTCAATTTCGGTCAAACATATTTCGTTATGAACTTAACAAAAAAACATACATTAGTTCGTATCCATTGAAAAAATTCACACTTTAAAGCAGTTTTGTAGAAATTTCGTCACGAAACGATATAAACTGGTGTAGTGTTCAGAAAGACGGCAGTATTAAAAGGCTTTTTATATTTTGATCCTATACTCTTTCTTGATTCTTTAATACGGTCTCATACCAAGAACGCTCGAATTAACCAATACATTTGTGAAATATCGATCCTTCTCAAATTAATCAAATAGAATATCTACCAAACAATTATTTAAAATTCTAACTGGAATCAAGATGTTTATTGCCTTAGATTCGCTTTTAATCAGTTATATTGAATGGTTATGTAATACAGTTTGAGCTTTAAAGTTCGCTGGTTGAAAATTTAGCAACTTGACATAAGCGTCTTAGCTTTCAGTGGTGATATAGGGAACCGAAAATGGGTGGGGACAATCGTATGTATTTAACACAAAACTACAGGACTTGGTAATAAAATCTAACATTCATATAGTCCACCAATTGTTTTAAAATGACTCAGACTTAATTGTTTTTGGATTTTCATACAAATTGCCTTCTCTCTCCATTCTTTACTATCCGATCCTCTTGTCTCTCTGCTGCCAGACATTCTGTTCACGACTAACGTCACATACTATTTATGTCGATATAAGTAGCTCACATCACACTCATCCCCCCTTTAAAGCATTCGTTCTTGAGGTGGTTCATGCTCGTCGTGCCTTATTCTTTACCTCAGTTTGTGCAACTCCCTCTGTCAAAATGTCGAGTCTGCGGCTTACTTATAAAGTAATTCCGTAGATTCTTTCAAAGTGTCCTATTATCTTAAATAAGTAATTTTACTAATTACGAGCAATCAAAAGTGTCATTGATTCATACAAACATATATTCTGTTCCAATTTCAATAACACTCATTCTATTTAATGTACAATCTCATTTTACTTATTTATTACTTAGTAAAATCAAATAATGCAAACAGTTACGTTGGTAACTAAATATTGATTTAATCTCAATATGTTTACAAAATCTTTCAAAACAAACTAGTTCGATAAAATCCACCTTTCTTAAATGTTGAACACACAATTAATCATTTTTTAAAGCAATTTTTTTCTAATTCAACTTGTTAGTAGTACATAATACATAATCAGTATCTTCTAATGTTACCCAAAATGTTGCTTTAGTATCCTTTCATAATATATGGAAAATTAGTTGTATTGAATAATATAATATTTTAAATAGTCATGTTAAAATCAATATTCAGTATATATATATATATATTTAAAATGGAGATTACAGACTGAGATTTCATCAAAACTACTTATTATTTTAGTTATGATGGACTGGATCACTTTGCATTTGTACAATGGTTATATGGACAAATGGGCAGATATATATATATATATATATATATATCCGTAGAATGATCATAGCATTTTCTTGTTAAACTAGTAACCTTGCTCCATTTCATTCGTGGTCTAATGTTTGAAAATAGAGTAATATAAGAGTAATATTAGTAAACGTCTATCATAAACTACTGTGTTCATCAGGTAAACGATTTATAAACTAGTATTCAAGCGATCAAATGATGCTATTAACTTGTAAGATGAAATTCCGCTTTTATTGTCATGATGAGGAGTAGTGATGTTATGAACAATACAGACAGGACAGAGTACTGTTTTTAGAAGAATATCATATCCCTTTTTGACCATTACTGTGGTTAAACAGTCTATATTGATAATAACAATTCAAATGTAGTAACTGAAAAGTTTACTCGAGTCACATATTCAGGAAATACATATGTTAACTAAGACCGGACAGTTATAAAATTGAATATCAAGAAGAAAATAATAGTCATTTTTACTAAAAACCTCATATACAGTGAACAGGTAATGGGAATCTGAACTTAGTAGCTTATTGAACAACGTTTTGGTATTTTAGGCGATAAATACTGGAATCGACACATAATTTGAACTTCAAAATTTGGATGCAGATATTGACGGTCGATAAGCCGAAAATGGGATGATACTACCTTAATTCATTATATTTCTAGTCGCAATCCAGAATACTTTACCATAATTCATGTCATTACATTTTATTGAAAGCATGAGAATTCTGCAATGAGTAATTACTAGAATATTTCAAGTTTAGTCCACTTAGCACTAAGTGATCCTTTTCAGAATCTAAAACATTAGATTTCAATTTAACTGACAAAATCAAACGTTATATGTTGGTCAACATTTCTGAATTCTCAAAATAGTTGTACGGTTAATACAGATGGACCAATTCCGTAATTGACCACTTAACCATGCTATATATTAATTGTAATTGTGCTTGCTTAAGGAAAATAATGTATATTCTAGGTGGTTGAAAACTGTTTAACCAAGATACAAATAACGATAACATAGGATATATTTAATAGATTTGAATTTAGTAAAAAGACAACCATTATATATGCTAATATACTCGCCTTTAAAGAATCAAACCTTTAAATGTTACTTCCTTAAGAGTTATAGAACAATTGAATAGTGAATTATCTTTCACTGAATTCTGGCGAGCGGGGTCGTGGATGCTCATTGCTGAGGAGTCCCATACTAGGACGGAACGGTCATCTAGTGATTCCAGGCTTTGCACAGTGGTCTAGCTTTAAATGACTCATGAATTCAATTATTAAATTACTAAAAGCTCCACAAAAACCCATTCCGACAATTAATTATAGTTAATATATAAGTATGAATTACAGTTCTTTCTTTAGTTTCAACTTACCAGTTCATTTTGTTTTGTTCTACCAACATTGTGTCGTGTAGTTGTTTTAATCCCTTTGACTGGTTTACGTCCATTAACACGTTTCGTAGATTTTTTTCCTGGTTTTATAGTGAAATCAACTGTTACAGTTGACCTTGGAATAAGTGTCACATCAGAATAGATATCCAGTTCACTTGAAACAGACGGTAAACCATCATTAGAGTTATCATTGTTACTATTATTATTACTACTAATCTTACTACTACCATCTGATTTATGACTATCTGATCTTACATCAGTTTTTGTTACTGTCAATGCATTAACTTTAGTTTTATCAAATCTGTTCTCGGAGACTTCCTCACCATTACTTGTCTGACTACTACTTATACTACTACGACCAGAATCGGTTGATGAAAAACTATGAATATTATTAGTATCCACTTTAGTTGTGTTGTTTGTATTCTGTGTTAATGCTGATGACGATGATTGTTGTTGACCATTTTGATTTTCACTATCAATATTTTGACTTGTTTTAACTGTTACCATTGTTGATTGATCAGAGGATAGTGATGATGGTGAGTGAGATGATGTATTCATAATCTTCCGAGAAGGACTATTCATCGTTGGTGTTTTAATCGCTGTTATCGTTGTTCTTGATGTTTTCATTTTTGGTGATGATGAAGTTGAAGGTGATGATGTCGTAAAGTGTTTATTGTTACTATTATTACTGGTAATGTTATCGGTATTATTACTATTAGTGTTAATATTATTTTGTTTATTGAAATTAATAGAAGTGATAGTGTCGGTTTGTTCATCTAAACAAGAGATTGATTTATTTTTCTTTCTGCTACGATTATCCATAATATGAGAATGTAGATTCTTCTGATAGAATTCAAGCGTTTTTTGATTTAAAAAATTGTGTTTTATTGATTGAACAGTCTGTTTTTACTTTTCGCCCCAAATTGAATATCATAGAATATACATGGTCAATTACTAAATGAACGTGTCTATGTGTTTGTCAAAAGATTCTTTGATATTAGTATTCTTATAGATTCCCAGGGTTAGTGAATAGTATTTAGGGCCATGGAGGTTATAGATAGGGTGTAATCATAGTGTACTTTCTATTCCGTCGAACAGGTTGCAAAAGCAAAACATATATTTTGCACCTGTTTGATTTAATATCAGACACTTGTTAGGTCAATAATAAATTTCACTATCCGTTATGATATTCCTTTGAATTATGTAATGTGAAAGTAATAATTATTGAACTTCTCTAGATCAGTATATTTGTAATAATGACAGTTCGCAGTTGTTAGTAGCTATTAATGAACAACTAGATAACTAAACTGTTTGGCCATATCATGCATTGCATTTATGTGTGTTTGAATATAATGATTACAATCCTACTATTTTAGGCAAAATAATTTTAATAACCAATCGGAATAAAAAATCCTGACTTACCCAATTTACAGTTTCATCTGATTGGTCAGCCTAATTTATTGTAGTTTTAGGCTCAAAATAGATAAAATATAGTGTTTTTAATGATATAACTAGCTAATTGCTTATTACTGCGATCTAAATATACGTTATCCAAGTTTTTAGCGTGATCAGTAAATAGTTGAGGCGTTCATTGCTGATTTTGTGTTACCAATATTTTCTTCAGCCGAATTATCTCTCTACCTTGTGTTGTATTATTTGAACTCAGAGAGACTATTACAATCGTCAGTCTGAGCTTATAATCCTCTAAACGATTATAAAACTACCTGAAGTTTGCTAGTACGCCAAAGAATTGATATTCTTTGGAATCGATAGTCATATAAATATCTGAATAGGAGTAAAATTAAAATATAAAAGTGGTTTCAATTATGGTCTAAAGTCAGTTAGACGATTTTCAAAAACAGCAAGTTATTGAATGTCTATTTAGTTCTAGAACTTCTGGTTTTCCCTATTTTTTTCCAATTGACATCAGCTGGACATCTGTAATTTTAAACAGAGCAAGAAAAACAAGGTTGTTAGAATAAATCAAATTTATATTGAATTTGACGGCATGTCATCAGCTGGATATAGCCTAAAGATTTAATTCTTAATAGAAATATTAACAAATGTTTAAAATACTTTAATAGTTCATTTAATGAGTCCATTCAATCTGGGCCATTATTTAAAACCGGGAAGCACTGGACCGCCACTTCGTCTTAATATAGGACTCAATAAGAAATTAACACAGTTGGATTCCGGTTTAGTGGTCTTGGAGTGTTTGCACATGAGACTGATAAGATACTTTAGTTTGTGAAATTTAAACAAATGTTCGAAGCGTAATGAAAATAAGGATAAGAGGAAGACTGAGACATAAAGTATGAAAATATGCATAATTAAAATCAGTATATTTTTATTTGTTGGAAAGTAGTAATGCAGAGTAGATTAAGTGTTATAGTTACTAGGACTTATAATGAAAATAAGAGAGGTTATGCAAAAGTTATGAAATTGATGATTGATTGTATAGTCATTCAACATGATAAGAAATAAAATTAGATATGTGAACAACAATTAGGTTATGTACGAGATAAGTAGATATGTAAAGGTAGGTAATGATTATTAGATCATAAATGAAAATATTTACACTGATTCAACACGATTATGTGAACAATATCGTTCTTATCGTTATTGATCTCTGTATTGTTTTTTTGAATCTTCCTGTCGATGTTTAGGACTGCAATTGATTAACCACTTGTGGACATATGTGAATCCTATACGGATTGCCATAACATTGCCATTAAGTCACAAGCGGTTAACAGAGAACTTAGTTCTGCATATATATGTCTAGTTGAAAAATGCTGACAGCTAATGGTATGTTTATTAAATGGTATAACATTAAAAAAAGAAAATAACACCAATATTGTCTACATATTCTTGAAAAAACAGATTATTTTCTATAGGGCTAAGTGAGATAGTACTGAACTTATGATGGATTTGGTTACAACTTTTCTTAATCATTCTAAGTAGTGTTCTATGTGTTTATCAAGTGTGAACTTGAAGGGATTCTTTTCCGCCTATGCAACTATTACCAACAAACAATCAAACATGTGAGTATTCTATTATGCCCCTTCTAGTGTGAAGAAGCAGAGCTTGCAGAAAAAATGTCGATACAGTTTAATTAGTCGTAATAAGAAAAGAACCATTGACATCCTGTTGAAAATGATTTCAAACAATCAAAATAAATTTAATGCTACAATATTAAAGGAGCTACTGGGTAATATTACCGAATGCCGAAATTTCAAGATACACTTATATCCCAACATCAGATTACAGCTGATAAAATAATCGGATTAAATTTTCTTAATTTTGTAAAGTAAATAGAAGAGGTTATCGAAAAAAGTCACAAATTTGTGACTGTAATTTAGTAAAATGTATACTGAAGCAATTATCACAACACTTATTTTAAACTAACCATAAGAAGTATATCCACAATGTTGCTGTTCTTTTGGGAATTAAGGTTTTAATGTGGGGTTTATTATTCTGTAACTTTGTAGATTGCCACAATAAACTAATGTTTTAGTTATAATTAGGAAGCTTATAACATAAAACAAGTTATGTAGTCCAATTATCTGATATGCCTATGAACAGAATTAATGCCTTTCTTACAAAAATTCGATAATAATATCAGCTCAATAAACAGAGTAATAAAAGTATTATTAAGATAGAAATCTTTAAATCTATAAAGAAATTAATGTTCTATCAACCCTACTGATGAGTACGTTGTTTGAAGTGGACTAGTTCTGGATTTGATATAAAAGATTACATTCACAAAATGAATGGCATTCCAGTTGATTATTAGAAATCTCCAGAGTTATTGAATGGTCTATATCAAACTAAGGATATATAAGCAATTTAGTAAGTACACTTACTGATATGGAGCTAATTACATTGGTCACACAAACCGAGAGTTCTCTGAACAATGTCCTGCTTGGCTTTCGAAAGGTGTATGTAAAACAATCAGTAGTTCAATATTGAAACATCTTGCGAACTCAAGACACATGACCCCACCTGAAATATACCTCAAAATATTCTATGCAATCAAGCGATTTAGTTCTAGAGGGGAGCAAACCAACAACGTATTTGTTGCAGAACTGTTGGTAAGTAACCTTTTCAAGCCTGAGCTCTGTGTGTAAGAGTGACTTGCGAAAGCTCTTAATCTTCCTTGTTCCTAACATCTAATTTTATGGATGGTAATTTGATAGTCAACATATCCTTCTGATGTTTTCAGTCTTCCTAATTTTAATTATTCGTTATTATTAATTTTACGTTTTTTAATTTGTTTTTCATCTTTTTTATAATTGTCAAGTGGTCAATTACTTTGTAACATATTACATTTTATCATCTGTCGTTGCACAGCTTTCTTTTGACACATGAAATTATGTTATCGTCCTTCTATTTTTGAATAAACTATTTTATTTAGTAACTAACTATAGAAATGATTGTATAGTTTGAGCAAATGATATTGTCGAGAATTAAATGTTTCCATGGAATTATCTTTGATTATGATTCAAAGACAGGATAGGTTACTTTCGTTATATAACAGAAACTTGACTTACTACACAAACAATATCATTTTAACTTTCGAAATACCTTATGTTAGCAGAAATAAATGTATTAATTTAAAATAAACTACCCTTACATTTCATTGTTCGTCATAATTGTGCTAGAAGTTTCGAAAGAGAACAAATTCTTCTGATACTATCGATTTGACAAAAACCTATTTTATCAATATAAACTGTTGGAAAATTATAAATAGTATCGTTTCGTGCTTGAAATAGGCTTTAAACCAATCTCATTGATGTTTTAGTTTCTACAATCTAATCTAGTATTTAACACAAGATATAATTAGTAATTGAATTTGCATGTTCTCTATTAAAACAATTTTGTCACTAATCCTTTTTTTCAAAAGTACTTATCCACCATTCATTTTGATCATATTGTTTATATTCACACCCAGAAGAGACCACATTAATCAATTTTTAGCTAAACTTTCGTATTCATTATATATTCTTGAAAGTTTATGAATTAGTCTGGTGTTGGTTTCCGAAATCCCCATATATATATATATATAACTCACTGAAGACAATGGTGACCAGTCGCGCAATTTCGTGGATTGGTTGAAGTTAGACATTAACACCGTTTGGATGCCGGCTCAGTGGTCTAGAGTTTAAACTTTCGTGCACGGGACCGATAGGTCCTGGTTTCAAATCCTGAGAGCAGGATCGTGGATGCCCACTCCTGAGGAGTCTCTTAACAGGACAAACTGACCGTCTAGTGCTCCCAGGTTTATGAGGTAGTCTAGCTTTAATCGACCCATGAATCCAACTATTAGATTACTACAATCTTCACAAAATCTCTTTATGAAAATAGTGAAGTGTATATTGAAGAGGAAGAATGTATTTGCAAAATCTTAGCAAATGAATTTTGATGCGAATCCAACGTTTCGCCTGGTAATCTGGCCCAAGCTTTTTCAAGGAAATATAATCAAACATCAAAATTATCGAATATAAATAGATACATATTCGACAATTTTGATGTTTGATTATATTTCCTTGAAAAAGCTTGGACCAGATCGCCAGGCAAAACGTTGAATTTGAATTAAAATTCATTCGTTGAGATTTTACAAATACATTTTTCCTCTTTAATGTCTGACATTAACTTGGCGCTCAAATACTGTGAAACTATTCGATCAAATTTAGATGAATGTTCTTATTTGGTCAAGTGCATATTTGGTCAGTTGATAATCAAGTTTATATCTCAGATATTTTCCAATCTATAAGCTCTTTATTTGAGTTTTTGTTTTCATTCATTTTAATTTAATTATTCACATTAATGCTTATTAGTAAATAAAAATATTTTTTGAACTTGAACATAACAGGTTAAATAATTTGTGGGAGAACATCGAACAATACATGATTATATTTTTGAATCAAATGATCCATAATGAATGATAACATACATATCTAATATTACTGTTCATTGAAATATATAGGAAAACCACTCAACTGATCATACAAAAGATAGATTTTAGCACGAATTTGTTTCTTTTCAAGTTTTGATTTGTCAACTCAGCGATAATTGGTCAGAATAAGAAAGAAAGGAAGAAAAGAATATCAACTAAAACGGGAAGCTAAATATAATGAACAAAAGCAACAGATAGGATCAAAAGACCGAGAGAATGAACCAATACTTAACTCAAGATGTAAGGGAAGATATAGCATAAATGTGTATGTTTCATGACGATCGATTTCGGTTTATGCCGCTCAATGAACGCACCTATAGATAACAATTATTTTAGAAATCTCCACGAAGAAATCTATACCAATTGAACGTGGCTCACTCCAACAGTCAATTGACTTCATCAATAAACTCTATTTGTCATACAACAATTACTTCTACTTTTACGA